CATCTCTCAGCACAGACTATAAATAACAGCGATCCAACCAATCATGTCTCAGCACAGACTATAAATAACAGCGATCCAACCAATCAACTCTCAGCATAAACTATAAATAACAGCGATCCAACCAATCATGTCTCAGCATAGACTATAAATAACAGCAATCCAATCATCTCCTAGAACAGACTATAAATAACAGAAATCCAACCAATCATCTATCAGCACAGACTATAAATAATAGCGATCCAACCAATCATGTCTCAGCACAGACTATAAATAACAGCAATCCAACCAATCATCTCTCATCATAGACTATAAATAACAGCAATCCAATCATCTCCTAGCACAGTCTATAAATAACAGCAATCCAACCAACCATCTCTCCGCACAGGCTATAAATAACAGCGATCCAACCAATCATCTATCAGCACAGGCTGTAAATAACAGCGATCCAACCAATCATCTCTCAGCATAGGCTATAAATAACAGCGATACAACCAATCATCTCTCAGCATAGACTATAAATAACAGCGATCCCACCAATCATCTCTCAGCATGGACTATAAATAACAGCAATCCAACCAATCATCTCTCAGCACAGACTATAAATAACAGCGATCCAACCAATCTTCTCTCTGCATAGGCTATAAATAACAGCAATACAACCAACCATCTCTCAGCATAGACTATAGTAAACATCGATCCAACCAATCATCTCAGCATTGGCTCTAAATAACAGCGATCCAACCAATCATCTCTCAGCATAAACTATAAATAACAGCGATCTAACCAATCATCTCTCAGCATGGACTGTAAATAACAGCAATCCAATCATCTCCTAGCACAGACTATAAATAACAGCAATCCAACCAATCATCTATCAGCACAGACTATAAATAATAGCGATCCAACCAATCATGTCTCAGCATAGACTATAGTAAACATCGATCCAACCAATCACCTCTCAGCATAGACTACAAATAACAGTGATCCAATCATCTCCCAGAATAGACTATAAATAATAGCGATCCAACCAATCATGTCTCATCACAGACTATAACTAACAGCAATCCAGCCAATCATCTCTCAGCACAGACTATAAATAACAGCGATCCAATCAATCATCTCTCAGTATAAACCATAAATAACAGCAATCCAACCAATCATCTCTCTGCATAGGCTATAAATAACAGCGATACAACCAATCGTCTCTCAGCATAAACTATAAATAACAGCGATCCAATCGAGCTTACATTCTATAGGAGGTGGGGTGTAAAACACATTAGGACAGGAATGTGCAATCAAATAAGGTGGGCAGCCCTTTAGGAGAGGGCAAGAGACGGGTATGTGAGGTAGGGGTTAGTCTTGGAGGCCATAAGCTTTCTGGCCAAGTCTGCCCAATTTTCTAAATACTTTCATTAGTCCCTGGTCTTATCTTATAGTTAGGATAGCCTTATGCCTATCCCACGCATGCTTAAACTCCTTCACTGTGTTAACATCTACCACTTCCATGCATCCACTACCCTCTCAGTAAAGTAATACTTCCTGATATTATTTTTAAACCTTTGCCTCTCTAATGTACGACTATGTCCTCTTCTTTTAAATATAGTCTCCTTTTTTACTGTGTTGATTCCCTTTATGTATTTAAATGTTTCTATCATATCCCCCCTGTCTCGTCTTTCCTCCAAGCTATACATGTTAAGATCCTTTAACCTTTCCTGGTAAGTTTTATCCCTCAATCCATGAACCAGTTTAGTAGCCCTTCTCTGAACCCTCTCTAAGGTATCAATATCCTTCTGAAGATACGGTCTCCAGTACTGTGTACAATACTCCAAGTGAGGTCTCACCAGTGTTCTGTACAATGGCATGAGCACTTCCCTCTTTCTACTGCTAATACCTCTCCCTATACAACCAAGCATTCTGCTAGCATTTCCTGCTGCTCTATTACATTGTCTGCCTACCTTTAAGTCATCAGAAATAATCACCCCTAAATCCCTTTCCTCATATGTTGAGGTAAGGACTCTATAAAATATTTTGTACTCTGCCCTTGGGTTTTTATGTCCAAGATGCATTATCTTGCACTTATCCACATTAAATGTCAGTTGCCCCAACCATTTTTCTTCTAGTTTACCTAAATCATTTGCCATTTGGCTTATCCCTCCTGGAACCTCAACCCTGTTACATATCTTAGTATCAGCAGCAAAAAGACATACCTTACCATCAAGACCTTCTGCAATATCACTAATAAAAAAATTTAAGAGAATGGGTCCAAGTACAGATCCCTGAGGTAACCCACTGGTGTCATCATTAATATGTTGTATTTTTTAAAAGCTCAAATCTTGTACAAGAATGATGTTTTGCAGAGTGATGCAGCATAAGCCTGCCTCCTTAGCTATGCCCCATCATGCCAGAAAGAATACTGTATCAAATGTCTCAGCCCCAACAGCAGAAAGTCAGAGAAACTATAACGGTTATCCTGACTAATTGCCTCACTAGGTGTCCTCTCCTTTTAATGCAGGTTGTTTTGTAGTTCAGATCATCCAGCACTGTCAGTGGCTGAGCTGTTTACACACATTTGATAAGGAAGTATTTTTTCTGGTGCGAGGGGGTGTGGCTAAGGAGGCAGGATTATTTTGCAGCATTCTGCAAAACATTTTATTTTATTCTTTTTAAATGCAAAAACTATAAATAAAACAGCATTAAAGTTATACTGGTGCTTTCCATTTAAATGTACCAGTAAAGTTAATGGCTATTTTTATTTTTATACACTTTGCTATAACAAACTGCAGTCTTCCGATCACAAAATGTAAAATTGGTTATTATTGTTTATTTTCTTATTACTTAGCATTTTCTGAATATTTTGAAATATCAACTAACCAATCAGGAGGCTGCTTTGATATTAAATGGATATTTTTGGCTTGTATTCTCCCTCCTCTCCCTTTGGCTAAAAAGCAGGATTGACATTTTCTATCAAATGCATGGACAGTTTCTATAAAATCCACATAGTAAGGCATTACTAATATCATCAATATTCAAAAGGC